CAAAGACTACAGTATGTGTATGTACTGCATCCCATGAGTGACTTATTATGCTTTCAAACAAGTGAATTGTCTTTGAAATGTGAGGTGATTGCATCTGTTTGTTGTTCAACCCATTAGCATTCCTTTAACTAAGCACTTGGTGTACCATGAGCAGTACGCTAACGCTTACAGGTTAAAGTATAATTGGATTTTTAAAATTTAGCTCACATTGTGTACACTGAGAATGCAGAATTTATGACCGACTGCATGCAACATCTAGAGGGCGATAAATATGCTTTGGCTTCACATTTCAGGAAGCCAAATTCAAATTGTGACCTTCAATGTTTACGAAACTTTTGATGACTACTCTCCCGTGGCCTTATTATGTAATAGTAAAGAGGCCATTGGTGACACACTGAGCATTTCCATGCAAATGTCAACCTTGCCATGAAAAACATTTGTTCAAATAGCAAACCCCTTTTTAAGTTGTTTGCTTGCATTTTACAGCACACTCTCAGAAATAAAGATGCAAAATTTGTCACTGGTGCTTTTTAAAAAGGTACTTTTTTGTTCCTAACAGATGCCTAAAAAATTACAAAAATGAACTTCATAGCACCTTACAGGTACAAAAGTGAACCTTAAAAGAACTAATGTGCAGCTGCCAAGGACAAAAACATACCTTTTAATAAGGTACTGCTGCCCCAGCAACAGATTTTGTACCTTAGTGATTCGGTAAAAATACTCAATAATGTCTCAGAGAATGATTTTAAACAATTTTACCTGATTTACCAACGTCACTTAAGTGCCAATTTTACACATGCTTAATGCTTTTTCCTCTAAAATGCAGAAATGCATTCATTCACGTCAGTTGTGCGCCTCGCTTACACATTGCTTAATACACATAGGAAATACAGCATAACGCAAATATCTTTGCAAATGAAAAATTATAAAATAATTAAAATATTACAAAAAAATATTGTTTTCTAGCCTACCTACATTTCTAGCCTTTGTATAATGTTATTATTAGTAGCAGTATTATTTATTAAATGCATATTTATATAATTAAAAACAAGCTTCGATTTGTCCACCTGTCAGGTTTTAGACCATATGGGGCACTGAATATAACTTTTTGAGCACACTTCGTTATTATTGTTCATTAATTAGTTTGCTGGAGATTAGAACAGAATTTAGAAATAGTTTTGAAACAAATCTTTGCACTTAACAAACTAAATTAATTGAATTATTGGCTAATGGATGTCTGTGCATACAATACGTTTCCCTATCTATGAGAGTGAAAGTGAAAGTAAATAATGAGGAGGCTCATCTTTCATTCTCGCGCTACAGATGCTCTGTTTAACTGTCTTCTCACTAGTGAAGCACTTACAAAGTCTGCCATGTAAATAGCAAATGCGCTATGGCGTGGCGCATTACTGGCTCTTAAAGGTAATGGGAGATGAGACTCTGATTGGTTTATTCTCAAAACACACCTTTAACTCATTAAAAGAATAAGCTCAACCCTGTTAGACCATGCAATATACTGTGCAAAGCGGACTTTTCTGTCCTTAAAATAGCAAAAGTGGATTCCGACATGCCCTTATTGCTTATGCGCCCCTGCGTTTTGGACGTTGTGCATGGATCGTCAAAATAGAGCCCTTAAACTTTAAAGCTACTTCAGATGAGGCTTTCTCAAGCCACCATAAAGTTTGTCTACGAACTTTACTTTTCTAGTTGTAAATTGTTACCCTATATTTTATTTTAGATCAGATATTACCTATTCTCAAAACTACTCTTTATAAAAAAGAAAAGAAAATACCTGTTATTATTTTCGGTTTAAACACTCTATATCTGTCATTTGGCAGGCAGCTAAGAAAAATCACAGTCCAGGTTCATTTGCAAAATGAATGTGAAATTTTTTTTTATCTCCATCTGGCACCAGATTCAGACTTCACAAATCAAGGATATAGCATGACAGGTATAGAATGTCTCTGAGATATAAAATCCCTCCTGAACACCTAGACTCACACATCATAAAGCTGAAGCATCTTGGCACTGCAGGAGATAAACCAGAACCAGCCTTTAGTGTATCCTGCAGTCTGTCTCCTTGATGCATGCAGTCTGTACTGCCAAATGTCTTCTCATATAAAAACATTTTCCTTCACGCTCTGCTGAGATTTAGGGTCCGCTGTAACACATTCCCCGCTCCTTATTTGTTGGGCCTTAAAGAACAGGCATCCATAGCAACCCTGCAACATTCCAACAGCAGCGTCTGGCCCTCGGCCTGTCACAACACCATCTGCACCCACACACACTTTAAAGGTGGAGGTGCAAGAAAACCTCCATAAAGAGACTTTGCATAAATTCCCACTACACGGATCACTTCGTTGTTTTCATACGAATACTTAAGAAAGCAAACGAGAAGGTTTGTTTTGTGCTGACATACATTATGCTTTGACATTAACAACTGCACATTTCCAGGAGTCCCACATGCTTCTCATTAACATTCCAAGTGCTCTTTCGCTCTTCCTCTCTCTCTCTCTTTCCCACTCTCTTTTGTCTCCCGAGGAGGCCAAAAAGGAAAACTGACAGTGCTGCTGGCTCTGGACCATGCATTCCACAGGATATGTCAAAAGAGTACAGAAGGACCGCTCAAGGGGGGCACTTATATACACACACACACACACACACACACACACACATACACACACATGCTGGTTTCCATGGGACTTCACATATAAAAATGGTTTATTTTTATGTGCATTATTTATAAGATGTTTTCTTCATAGGGACTAAACAAAATCTCACAATGTAATATTGGTATACTTGTGGAAATACTTGGTCCCCATAATGTTAGCGATATCTGGGTCCCACACATACACACATACGGTATATAGAAGAGAGGGATGAATTAATGCATCTTTAATAAAAATATGCTCTCCATGTTCACTAGATAGAAATAGAACTCACTTGATCAGTGTTTGCAGTCAAATTCTTTGAGTTTTTATTTTGTTTCTAGTCTAATTATCTTAAAATTATTAAATCAAGATTCATTTTCTACACAAGTAACAAATAGTGTTTTGTTTTCATAAATAATACATCCAAAATTTGTTTTAGTTCAAATTGCGCATTCTAAGTTGTTTGTCTAGGCTTTCATTTAACAGTACATTGGAGCGAGGAGAACTTTACATAAGGACAACCATCTGTGCAGCAATCCACCAATCAGGCCTGTATGGTAGTGGCCATACGGAAGCCACTCTCCGCCTGGAGTTAGCCAAAAGACATCTGAAGGACTCTCAGACCATAAGAAACAAAATTCTCTGGTTTGAGAATACCATCCCTACAGGGAAGCACGGGGGTGGCAATATCATGCTGTGGGGATGTTTTTCAGAAGCAGGAACTGGAAGACTGTAGAGAGAAAGACGAATACAGCAATGTACAGAGACATCCTGAATGAAAACCTGCTTCAGAGTGCTCTTGACCTCAGACTGGGGTGACAGTTCATCTTCCAGCAGGACAATGACCCAAAGCACACCACTAAAATATCAATGGAGTGGCTTCACAACAACTCGGTGAATGTCCTTGAGCGGCCCAGCCAAAGCCCAGACCTACATCCTATTGAACATCTCTGGAGAGATTTAAAAATGGCTGTTCACCGTCGCTTCCCAATCCAACCTGACTGCGTTGAGAGGTACTGCAAAGAGGAATGGGCAAAAACTCCCAAAGACAGGTGTGCCAAGCTTGTGGCATCATATTCAAAAAGACTTGAGGGCTGTAATTGCTGCCAAAGGTGCATCAACAAAGTATTGAGCAAAGACTGAGCATACTTCTGTACATGTGATTTTTTCAGCTTTTTAATTTTTAATAAATTTGCAACATAAAACTGATTTTATTCTTGCCAAAATAAAACAATTAAGACTTTTTCCAGACGAATAAATATTATCAGACATACTGTGAAAATTTCTTTGCTCTGTTAAACATAACTTGGGAAATATTGAAAAGAGAAAAAAAAATCAAAGGGGGGCTAATAATTCTGACTTCAACTATGAATGTGCATATTTATATTGGTTTTATTGGTTGAAAAAATATGTGTAAAGGCTATTTTGCCCTAATATTTTGTATATGTTGCATATATAACATTTATTTTACATATGTGAAATTTAAATATGAACTTTTATGTCATATTTATATATATATATATATATATATATATATATATATATATATATATATACACACACACACACACACACACACACACACACACACACACACACACATATATATATATATATATATATATATACACACACACACACATATATATATATATATATATATATATATATATATATATATATATATATATATATATATATAATTTGCATATATTTTTCATATATGTATATATGAACCTCACATCTGTATTTATGTAAAATTCAATTTGGCCTCTGCTGTTTTTAGTTCAATTTTACAAAACTGATAAACCTTTAGGTAGAGACCTTCTGTGAGATCAGAAGTTGTTAATATCTATTGTATATGCTTTTGTTGAACCTTTTTTATTGGTTTAATTAAACTTATTTTACAAACAACTGTATTTAATAGCATAATTTGTGGAAAAAATACAAAAAAAGTGCACTAATGCACTTTATATGGCTGCATTGTACAGCTGAAGACAAAATTATTAGCCTTACTGAAAAATGAAAATTTTCCCAAGTTCTGTTTAACAGAGAGAGGAACACATTTATAATCATAATACTTTTAATAACTTACTTTAGTAACTCTTTTGTCTTTTCTTTGTGAAACCACTTGGGAAATATTTGGGAAAACAATTAACATTTCACAAGAGGGCTGATCAATTTGTCTTTAAAGACACTTTATCGATGCAGCTGCAATTAATAGAATCTTTTAATATGTAATTTTTTGTTTAAAAATGTCAGACTTTTTTGTATATAATATAAAATATATGATTTTTGTAATAATATAGTTTTTGGCTTAGATAAAAAAACAGAACACATTCTACAGGGAAAAAGCTGTATTATGGTTTTAATGGTTGCTTATTCATATATAATTCAAATTAAATCTTTTCTTACATTATAATGTTGGACACAAAAAGAATCATAAAACTGAACATTATTTGTTTAATTTAGCTTGAAAATTAGTTTGAGTTCAAAAAATAATTAGCAAACACATAGTAGCAACAACCTTTTGAGATCTGGACTGTACAACAATAAAACAAATGTAACTCTGAAAAAAGAAATGGATAAACCAGTACATTCATTTTCTTCAAATGATAAAGGTTTTCTATTCTTAAAGACAGTCCATCTAAAACTGAGAATGAACCTGATACTGACATCTGAGGCGCAGCAGAGATGAATCGGTGAACTTCATTGGAAATAGCCTTGGGTCTCAGAAAGAGGACGTGAAATATTGTGGAAAGCCCACTGCAGGATCCCATCAATAGAGCTCTGCACTCATCAACACAAATAAACGGTCAGGTAAGCCATCCAGGAGTGCATTTCCCAAACAAATAAATAATTACCATAGTACAATACATCATTTGTGAAATGTCATCGTTTGGTAACCTTATAGAGGAGATCTACATCAAATGTTTGTTTGTTTTTGTAAAGCATAATATTGTTCAACACCCACACAGATAACTTTTTAAATAATTTTTAAATCCACTATTTATTTTTGGTAAAAACATGCATTTGTTCTATAATTGAAACACTTAGGTAAATGGCACATACAGTATATGGCCTATATTTTTTTACAGTCATCATTCTAAAACATTGAGCCACTTAAAATAGCTAACATAACACTTTAATTATAATTTGTATTTTTTTAAAGGTCTACTTTTACAATTTTGACAAACTCAGACCACAGCAGAATTGTTGTAAATGCCTTATAGCCTACAGAACAGATACATTTCTTTAAATAATATAACTTAAAACCATTAACGCACTGTATATGTTTGTTTTCTTTAATTTGGGAGAGGTAAGGGAGATTTCAGCTTAAAAATCATATCAAGAAACCTATACAGTAGCGTAATGAACCATGGCTGTGTTCAAAATGGCATAAATGACTTCAAAGTGCACTATGAAGTGGGTTCAATCTATGAAGACCATTAAAACGAATCTGTAAAAAATAACTTTGAAACATTAAATGTGAAAGACACAACTTCATATAAAGAGACAAAGACAAGCTCAAGTCAAGCCATGGCTGTGTTCAAAACAGTAATGAGGAGGGAGTTCAATATGCACAGATAGTGTTTTTCATCCAACGATAAACTTTCTGTGAAAGGATTTTGTGACTATTTTTTAATTTCATGAAGTTATTGTAATTAAATTAAAATATAATCTGTTAAATAGACTGAAGGATTCATTTACTTTTTTCAAGTGATATACGAGATGAAAGACCATGTAAACGCTAGTCAGTAGCAGCAGGCTACCGCAGAAGCTCCCTTAAAAATACTGGGGTAAAATAAATTTCCATAAATTGCCATTAGATATGGTGGGGAAAATTAGAATTCAAGGCAGTGCTTCTTGTTTGGTCGGAGACCTACTTTATACCATATATCAATCAGTGAAGTAAAGATCACTGATCTTTAAAGAAATCAGATCTTAAACGCTGCAATTTTGTAATGGTGCTACAGTTCACCGGAAGCGCTTGGGCTGGCTGTATGAAAATTAAAAGTTTGTGTGCATACACCCCATTATTAATCCGAAAAACTGTAAAAAATAACTTTGAAAGCAAATCACATGTGAAAGAGAGACAACAAGTGTTTTTAAATCATTCAAAGTAGATGTTGAAAGGTTCAAAAGGAATTAGCTATAGGGGAAATAACTCAGAATAGAACAAAACCAAGAACTTTTAACTACAGCTCTAGAGATAGTTGCAACTGTGCAAGTTTTCGGCAATCTTTGCCAATGTTCATTATAATGATGGATTTGGGAAACACCAAATCGCTGAACTTCATTTATAACGGAACTTGCGATCTTAGTTGTCTAATGATAGTTTTGGGAAACGCACCCCAAGTGTTTTCACTGTTTGTTTTTATGAATTTATTGGTAAAGTGTCAAAAAACAACCGCTCACCTCCCCCATCACTGAGTCCATCTCGTCTCTGTTGAGCAGCTGCTCTGATGGCGTTAAGCCCTGATCACTCATATGTTGACTCAACTGTGGAAATATAAAAGACTAATGACATTTGTGAGGTCAGGAGGGCAAAAGGTGTTGTTTAAGTGTGAATGGGATACCTGAAGACTCCTACACGTAGATGAATTGTCATTTCCAGGGCCCCAAGATCTGGAGCAATTCCTACATCTTGTCCTTCCACTTAATCGAGAGAAATGGGAGAAGATAGAGTGTGTGAGCTTTATAGCAGGATACAACTTATTACAGTTATTGTATTCTTAATGGCAGTACAGTACGATCAGTACTTTGGGAAGTTGCAGAGGGCGTGATAAGCCTGCAGGCACTGAGGGCAGGTGATCAGCTCTCCCCGGGTGAGATAGCAGATGCCACATGCCATCCTGATCCCAACTCTTTCACCATCTGAAGACTAGCACAGATTTCAGCTTTATTCAAAATAGCATATTTGGTTTTCAGCAGAATTCAGACACTCATAAGGTTTTGAACCAGCTGAGGGTATTCTGAGTGAGTATTTTTTTTACGTTTTTATTTTTAAAATGGACCCTTAAATTACGTTTTCTAACTAAAACAATACAGATGAGCTTTTCCTCAAGCAATACTACTGGTAAGGAAAGATCTGGAAAACCTAACCATTATACAAGGTACATGGGCAGAATGCAAATATAGTTATCTATTATAATAATGGAGTACATCTTGATCAAATAAAATAAATACCAACATGTTTCGGCTTTAAAGCCTTCCTCAGGACAAAACAACATTACCTCAAGCAATAATATAAAGTAAACTATAGCAATGAACATATTAGCATCCTCTAAAATACTTACAATAATACATTTCCACAGTAATACAGTATATACACTAGTAAGTTTGACTCTATATTATTTTTATGTTAAATCATTGGATTTTACCATTGTATTAATTTAGATATTTAGGGTGTGTAAATAAAAATGTAGACAATTTTTTGTCCCTTAGGAAAACAGTAAAGATACCTAAACTAAGATACCTAGAATGATCATGATCATTTTTAAAACAGAACATTATAATGTTAAGAATACTAGCTATAAAAATAAAACATAGCAAAATCCGAATGAGGAACACTTTCCCCCTCAAGCAAAATTCCTGATTCCTTCATGCACAAATTCCTAAAAGAGCAATGTTAAATGTGAGCACAACTTTATTCAAATGTAACACACTCTACAAATGCTGGTTTGTTTCCATCAAAAGTTTTACTAGCTAATTTATGGGTTGAAAAATGTATATAAAAATACAAGATAGTTGGGATTTGACCATATTTTTTTCATAAATTTTTGGTTTTTGAGACCAGTGATCCATGTAGTGTAAAAATAATAGGGTCACACTTTATTTTGATGTTCTGTTTGTTGAATTTTAGTTACATTTTCTACCTGCCAACTAATTCTTCTTAGATTATAAGTAGACTGTTAGGTTGGGGTTAGGGTTAGTGTAAGTTGAGATGTACTTGCAAATGTTAACTGTTAAGTATAGCTGTTGAAGGAGCATATCAACAGATATTAAGCAAATATTCTACTAATACTCAAATGGACCTTCAAAATAAAGTATTAGCAATAAAGCGTAAAGAAGTAGTTTTTTGTAGTTTGTATGTGTTTTGCATTATGGGACATTGATATTTCCTATAACAACTTTATATGTTGAAAAAATTGGAAACATGACTGATATTAACATTTTTAATTGTTTAAACTGATATGTTGTCCAGGTTGGTGTTGTAAATTACAGCTCAAACACCTGGTATTAAACAGCCAGTCCTTTCTATTTTACTTAATTTAATACTATATATTTTATTTCTTAAACAATAAATTGTTTTTAAACTAATAAAATGTCACTTTGTTAAAATGCACAGTTGAATTTTCAGCATCAAAAGTTGACAAAGCGGAGATCAAAGTCCTATACTGCAATTCATAACCGTAAAAATACATTTAAAAAAAACTGAATCACAAAATATGTACAACTCTGCGGATATTTTTGACTGTGTGATTCAGACGATTGTGTTACCTGGAGGCCCATGGATTGAGCGCTGCTGCTCGCTGAGACTGTGGAGAGTGAAGTAGAGGACAGAGAGGAGAAGAAGGAGAAATCCACTGCAGAGCCAGAGCTCGTCTCTGTTGCTGGAGGCTGTAAGAAAAGGTGCTTTAATGATCAGTCATTATACGTTATCAGTTTGTCTTCATACTCACTGCTTGGCTAAAATAAAAGTACATAAAAGGGCATACATTATTATTATGTTGAAGTACATTTAGCTTTGATTATGCTGACATTCATCATGGCATTGCTTTGAGATCCGTATGCCATACCACACAAAAATATACCAACTTTCCAACAGATTTGTTTTGTCATTCGTACCTGCACATGTGTGTATGTCCTGTCTTTCAATCTGTTGCTTTGGCAAAGCTGACAGCGCCATGTACCCCTAAAATAAAAATAAAAAATACATGCAGAAAATGTTCATATATCAGCTGGGCTTTTTGATTTGATCATGGACCTTAATTATGGTGGTTTTTAAACATTTTAACAAACAGAAACTGGGGGGGGGGGACCCCAGAAACAACAGTAATATTAATAATAAGTCAAATATCATTCCTTAATACTAAATTGTTGCATTCAATTTATATATATATATATATATATATATATATACAGTATTTATTTTAGAATACATGTTTATTTTTATGTATTTTAGAATACATGTTTATTTTTATGTGGCTGGAAGGGAATCTGCTGTGTAAAAAACATACCTGAATAGTTGGCGGTTCATTCCGCTGTGGCGACCATTATTTAATAAGGGACTAATCTGAAGCAACATGAATGAATGATTGTTTTATTTTTACATTAGAATTGTATCAATAATATAAAAAATAAATTTACAACATCCTTATCTTCTAATAACTTATCTTCTAATAACTATTTTTATTATAATGATTCTAATAATTGTTTATAATATAATAATTTAAATGTTCTTTTATTAATTTTATGGAAGTTTGCTGAGGCCCCCTAGTGGTTTCTGTCTCCCTGCTGGAGGACAACTCGTACTGTATATATAATAGAAAAGTATGAAGTCACACTCAAAATTTGTTAAATAAAAAATAATTTAAAGATGTAAATAACCCATTATGATGTAAAATGCCATGCATGTATTCATATAAAGAGACATACTATGCAGAAATTCTGTATTATTTCATGCTAGAGCTGCATGATATTGAAATAATCTGACATTGCAATATTTTGTTTTGCTGCAACATATATTAACTGATGAATATAATTGTTATGATCACCAGCGATCATACTTCATAGATCGCTGGATATCACACACAAACACCTATGGACTACAAATCTGCCATTCATGGACTAAATTTTCATACATGCACTCTGCTCACACACACACACACACACACACACACACATGCTTCCTCATTCTGACTGATTACACTCGCACCGCCTGAGGATTGTCAAGGACTGATTACACACACTATTTAAACAGCACACTCAAGCTGCGTCCCAAATGGCATGCTATGCACTATGTTTTTATGCACTGACACACACAACAGTATAGTATGTATGTAGTGTCGTCCCAAATAGCACACTAATGTTTTTTTACTAAGCGGAAATTCAAACCGTTTCCCTAATGACGTTTGATGGTTGCCAAATCAGTGAAATAAACGACTGAATAATCATACCTGCCGTGAGTGTAACTGCATTCACCATCGAGAGGCGCTATAATCACTCTCGTAGGAGAATTTTGCTTTCACCGTCAAAAAATAAAGTTATCCAACATGTGCGCCTGATAGCTCCGCCCCTTCCGCTATGTGAGCAAACCTGCAATCGTTGAGTGTGTGAAGTGTCCATCATTACACACTTCACTTTACTGGCTGAATGAGTGCATAATTAAAGTGCCCTTATTATTTTTAGAGTTTTCAGTGTGAACACACTACTTACAGAATTAAAGACAGTAATGCAGTAGGTCTTATATATGAAATACAGCACAGTTCTACTGTTGGTCAGCTCTAGGTTCTGGTGGTCCCACATGAATACTCTGTACCTGGGTATGGAGGTGAGGGGGGGCACCAGACAGGAGAGATGAAAGGCACGAGGACACCCATCACAGCAGATGAGCTCGCCGCCGTCTTTACACACTGCACACTCATCATCATTGTGCTCTACCTGAACACAACAACAGTGCACTGTAAAAATAAAGCTAGGTTCCACATTGGGACAACATGAAAGGATTAAGTTACTTTTACAAATTTAAATAGAGTGAACATAAATCAATTAAGTTGTCCCCCAAAAAACTCAAGAATTGTGATGTTTTAGCTGATTTTAAATAAATAGTCAATAGTCAATGTAATGAACTAACAGCAAATGTCATTTTTTGAGGGTAGCAGGTTAACACTGCAACAACATACTGTAGGCCAGGGGTGGCCAACCCTGTTCCTGGAGAGCCACCTTCCTGCAGATTTCAGTTGCCACACATATCAAACACACCTGAACCAATAATTAGGACCTGAACACCACGTGATAATTACAGGCAGGTGTGTTTGATATGGGTTGCAACTGAAATCTGCAGGAAAGTGGCTCTCCAGGAACAGGGTTGGCCACCCCTGCAGTAGGCCTATATAATAATTTCACTTAAGTTGACATGTTATCCTGTTTTTCTTTATCATAATAAGGCCATAAATAAACCTTACAAATTTGAACAATTAAGAATATTTGAATGGTTTCTAGCACATTTTGAGTCCTATTGCATAAGATGTTGTTGGTTTTACCTTGCATTGGTTAGACCATTGCACACTGTAAAAAGTGATTAGTTCACTTTACTTAAAAGAGAGAGTGAACTTGTTCCCTTATAATTATTAAGTAAATAAACTACAGTGTAAAAAGGGATTGTTTACTTTATTTTAAGGTAAGCAAGCCCACTGCCTTATAAGCGACACATTGACTTTATTTTAAAAAGTGAGTAAACCTGTTGTAACTTGGGACAGGTGACTAGATTGATATAACTATATACTTTTAATAACTCAATTCTAATAACAGATTTATTTTATCTTTGCCATGATGACAGTAAATAATATTTGACTAGATATTTTTCAAGACACTTCTATACAGCTTAAAGTGACACTTAAAGGCTTAACTAGGATAATTAGTTTAACTAGGCAGGTTAGGGTAATTATGCAAGTTATTGTATAACAATGCTTTGTACTGTAGACTACTGAAAAAAACAAAGCTTAAATGAGCTAATAATTTTGACCTTAAAATAGTCTGTAAAAAATTAAAAACTGCTTTTATTGTAGCTGAAATAAAACAAAAAAGACTTTCTCCAGAAGAAAAAAATATTATCAGACATACTGTGAAAACTTCCTCGCTTTGTTGAACATAATATGGGAAATATTTAAAAAAGTTCAAAGGGGGACTAATAATTTTGACTTCAACTGTATGTACATCATTATAAAAGTCATCGTGGGTTTACTGACTAAGTAAAATCAAGTTGTTTCTTTTAAGACACAGAGTTTACATACTTTTTAAAAGTAAAGTCACTAATCCATTTTTACAGTGCAGTTTACATATATGTTCATTATAACCTAAAAAATAAATAAATAAAAAATTGTGCGTTTATGAAGTGTGCTTCACACAGTTGAGTGGGATTGACAAACCACCATTATAAAGACTCTTCTCTATAGTAATAAAACTTCCCCTTCCATAGTCTGGCACTTAATCCTCTGAGCATTAACAGCATTAACTGAGCATCAACTTCTTGTTGAATCGGTGACTGCCTCCTGGACAAAAGTGTCTGCTTAATGATGTTTTAAAATAAGTTTCTCCTGCTTACCAACGCTGCATTTATTTATTCAAAAGCACAGTACAAATGGTAAAATAGAGAAATGTTCTTGCACTATAAAAAACTGTTCAAAAGTAGATTATAATTACATTTATTCATTTATTCCAGTGATTTTACAGATGAATTTTTGGCTTCATTACTCCAATCTTCAGAATTACATGATCCTTCAGAAACCACTCTAATATTATTATTATTATTATTTGAAACTGCACACAATAAGAAAACTTATTTACTTATTTAATTATAAACTTATATTTAACAATTATTTATTTTTCATTTATTAAACACCACCTTGATGAACAGAATTAAAAAAAAAACATGAAATAAAAAACGGACCCCAAACTTTTGACCGGTAGTGTAAATGTAAATGTAAAACCTTTCTAGAGTTTTTCTTTTCAGCAAAGTTATTAATAAGGTCATTTGCATTGCATATTGCTTTGCAAACTGGGATAACTGGTTGTTTATTTCAAGAAACTAAGCTATCAGCTATCATGTAAATGTTTCTAGTGAGTCTGGTACACCTACAGTCATGCCTCTGCTGCTTGGCTCTCTCTGCTGGTGACTGGAGGTGTGTGCAGTCTGCGTCTGCGTCTGCTGTGCTCCAGCTGTCTCATCCAGTTTGCCAGAAGAGTAGAATTCTCCTCCAACCTTGATGCATTTTTTGGCTCCTCCTGCAGGAGTGAGAGAGAGATAGAGCTGCTGAGACATCTGTGCTGCCAAAAGTGTTTACACAAGTTTACACTACTTCAAAACACACACACGCAAAGAGCAGAAGCATAAAACATGTAGAGGCGTTCGTCTCAGTGCGTCAGTGGTGAATTAGTGTATTCATCTCACCAGACTCAATGACTTGCTGGATGAGAATCTCCTCCACTGTACCGCAGCTATCAGGAAGATCACCTGCAGATACCGTCACAGCCCTCTGGACTGAGGTGGAAACTGCTTGGACTCCTGTGTTGATTCACGTACAATCTTGATAATCTGCTATAATACATTGTCATCTTAACGACACATGTTATACAGAAGTCATGTGATTACCATTTCCCACTGAGACCTGAGAATGTGCTGCTCCATCTGTCTTCTTCATCAGCTTGCCTTTGCTTCCTGGAGCAGAAAAGATATTGAGGTATTGTGATGGTTTTGTTTTGTGATCACAAGTCCATTCACCATGCTTATTCGATTTATTTTCAATTTACTGCACATTAACAAAGACTATAGAATACATGTCTTAAATACATTTTATAGAATACAATAGTTTACATTACATATATAGTAATAAATAATATAATACATAGTCTTAAAGGGACTTTGATAATAGAGTGATGTTGGAAAGATTCACACACTGCCCTAAGCCCTTTGAAGGGTTTATCATCCAGAGTGACAGCTTTGAGTGGGTGAAGAATGTTGGTCATTTGCAAGATATTCAGCGTAAGTGTAATGTAATGGCTTAAGTAGGTTAATCATTTTAACTAAGCAAGATAGGTTTATTAGGAAAGTTATAAGACAGCTGTAATTTTTGTTCTGTAGCCATTCAAAAAATAAAACAAAACTCTACCATAAGTTACTGAGAAAACATGTTTTGCTTTATTAAAGGTCACTTGGGATATTTTTAAAACAAGTGTAAAAATTGTACAGAAAGGCTAATCATTATGTCTTCAACTGTACTCTATACATTCACACCCTGGGTTAATGCATATATAATAAAATTATATTTTGTGTGTATATATATATATATATATATATATATATATATATATATATATATATATATATATATATTTTTTTTTTTCTATTTTAAATATTTCCCAAATGATGTTTAACAGAGCAAGGAAATTTTCACAGTATGTCTGATTTTTTTTTTCTAAAGAAAGTCTTTGGCTAATTCAGCTAGAATAAAAGCATTTTTTTTATTTTTTAGACACCATTTCAAGGACAAAAGTATTAGCCCCTTTAAGCAATTTTTTTTCGATAGCCTGCAGAACAAACCATCATTATACACTGTTAGACATTTCTGTAAATTACACAGTTATTTACTGTATTTCACCCAGTGTAATACTGCAAATTCCTTTTACGGTAAATAACTGTATTTACCGTTGCATTATGGGAATTTAGTGTGACGTCGAACAACATATACAGCGATGTACTGTATTTGTAAAAATTCGTGTATTATACTGTATTTTCCACAACTGCTTCAACGCCACCTTGCGGCGATTGACTACTCTGCACCACATTTTGCCTGAGGACCCTGGAGCAATTCTGGAGGACAATTTATTAGTGTGCCTGAAGAACATACTGGATTTAACAAACTTTACTCTGGTAAGCTGAGGCAGTGTTTCATTTTACAGAATGTTTTGTGGACGAGAATAGAACAAAGTAAAGTATAAAGTTGGCTATTATTATTTTCTCTGGCTTGGCGTTATTTCGCCCATTTGAGAAATATATCATCTATTAAGATGTTACCTTTATTTAATTTATTACATTAATACTACTATTACTTTAAATAAGACTGTTTATGACTATTAGCCATTGTTCTCGTCATATCTTTTTATTTATTTACATAGGAACCGGTGTTGCAGCGGGTTTTGGTTTAGGAGGGAACCAGAGGTATGCAGACAGTTTTGGAGGACACTTAGCACGAGACAACGGTCCGGCAGAGAGTGTTTTCCCCCAGAAGAATATGAATGAAAGACAGACAAATAATCCAGGTAAAAGCGCGTCTGTCTGTGCTGACAACACTCGACATTGATTTGAGCACCTCTATTAGCATTTGTTTGCTCGGCAACATTGGCTGAAGCGATCTTAAAATGGTAATGTTAACTGTTAGCTAAACTGAGCTAAGTTTATACTGAATTGGACTCAAACTCATTTTAACGTGCAACGTTTAACTTATATTGATTTATACTATATATATTAGATGTTGTAAACTTATTTTTCTCTGGTTTAGAGTAACTTATAACGTTAGCTTGAGAAAATAACATCGCGACGTAACCTATAAGAACGTTAACGTAAATCTATAACGTTACAATATGCATAGAGGTAAAGTTGGTTTTATATTCGCACATTCGTTCATTTAGAAGACTCTATACTGTTTACCATGTTACTTTGAATATTCGATCAGAATTAGCATGCCAGTATGACTTGAAATCAACATCAACACTGTTTATTTGACCGTGAGCATGTTGTACTTTAATAGTCATTAGCTGCTAAAATGATTTCGCTATTTAGAGTTTGCAAATAATACTTTTATGAAATTAAATTATTAAGGGGGAAGTCTGAATCTGCTAATATAAAACCAATTTTACCTCTATGCATTATGCTAATAACCACCTTTTTGCTATTTATTGTTTGCTAATTATTTTTTTATCACAACTCTTGACATTTGCTTTAACATAATTGTTACCATTATATTTTTTTCTGTTTAGATATGGCACTGGCACAGCAGCAGGTTTTGTCTGAAGAAACAAACAGCATTTCAGAGGAACATCTTGATCAGCACAGCCTTATGCTTAAAAAATAAGCAAGACCAGTAAGCAACCAAGGTAAACAAATAAAAAAAAGTTGTGTGGAGGTTGTGGATTGTAGCATGGTATTCTTATCTGTATTTTTGGCTTTTTTATGGTCTCAATATAGAATACTGGGAGCCTGCCTGTGCAAACTGGACCTCATACAACAGTAAGTACTGTACATCTATTTGTTTCTCAATATATTAACGTTACTTTTAATACAAAATGTGTCACATGTTTAGTTGCTAGCTAAATAAAAAAATCGTTTTCCCTTTTTTATTAAACCATTTAGTAGGTTTTTTTTTCATCTTTGTTTATAATATTTTTGAGCAGATTGAGGTCTGTCATGGGTCAGACATTTCAAAATACAATAATTAGTATTGGGATACATGCATTTGTCTATGTATTAAATGTCTTTTTCCCCATTTCATGTTGCCTAAATATTTTGTAATAAATAAAATAATACAATTTTTTGTATAAATAATTCCAGAGGATGAAACAAAATGCACAGCAACAACCAGAGTGAGCCAGAAGATAGCAGGAGAAGTACTGAAGAGAATGACAACCATGAACAACAGTGAGTTATCCTTCTTTCACCAGCTAACTGAGAACTTGGATTAGGTGAGACACTCTCAATAGTTTTATCAGTATTCAGTCAGTTTTAGTTTATTAGGAATACATAAAACAAATAGTCTAATCTGTCCTGCAGTGAATCAACCCATCACAAATGCTACAATGTTTTTGTAAAACCTTGTTAGGGAAAAAAATAAACAGGACATTCTGGTTAGTTATCTTTTAAACATGGTAGTGAGCAGGTTATGAGCAGGAGCCAGTTGCTCAGTACCAGCTGAAAACTACCCCAACCCAGCTGCCATGCTTCAAAATAATTAACCAGTATATGATTTATTTTTTTTAAACAAGCTTCTTCTATGCTTATGTTAGTCTGTTTGTCCTTATCCAGAGTTCTTCATAATCCTGGACTGGGCCAAATCCTGACCAGATGCTGTGGTGGTCATGGAGGAGTGAATCCTAAAAGACACACGTGATCAATGAGTTTCCGCATTGATCCAATGGGCCAGCCTGACCACCCGCTGGTGAACTTTCAAGCCTCTGGTGCCTAGACTGCGGCCTTGCACAAGTTTGGCTAGAGGAGAACTGGTCGTGCCCAACTGAGCCTGGTATCTCTCAAGGGATTTTATTCTACACTTTCGTCAGTTGGTGAAGTTTGTTCCATGCCACTGTCGCCACTGGATCACTTGGCTACGATTGGTGGATCGGTGGATTTGCTCTTCAGTGTTTGGACTTTCAGCAGTGACATTTACTGCTTCAATTCTGAAAACTGGACTGAAGCAGCTTCAATTTACAAGAACTTCTATGTTAAGCTGCTTTGACATCATTGATCTACATTGTAAAAGTGCAATAGAAATAAAGATGAATTGCATTTGAACATGTGAATTCAGACCTTGTTGAGCATTTGACACCAGAACTAGTAATATTTTAAAGTTGGGTTGTTTCTGAGTCGGCTAATAGTTACAAATATTTATTTTTCCAACAATATGCAATTCAGAAGTTTAAATTTTTATTGTACATGTATGTTCTAGTGCTTTGTGTGATTTATTTATTTTTAATGTGTTGATTTTATTGCTTAATGTAATTTTCACACATTTTCCTTAAATGCTTTAAGCGTTATTAATGTTTTAAAGAATGGAATATTTTGTAATTGTGTCTGGTTTAATGTCAGTAGTACTTAGTACAATGGGTTTTTTTTTTCTCAACAATATGCAGGTCAGACACTTAAATTAGTTTTGTACATGTATGTTAATGTGCTTTGTCATTTTCAATGTTTTTTTTTCTTAAAATAAAATATTTTGAATGATTGAAATGTAATGTTTTTACACATTTTTAAGCTTGTTTTAAGCATCTCCAATGTTTTAAATAAAGAGTGTTTATTTTGTTAATATTTTGTAATTGTGTCTTTTTTAGGTCTATAGTATTAAAATAATATTAATAAAATTATATTATAAAATATTTAGGACAAAATTAAAAGGTTTACAGTAGCTAACTGTTAACTTAGGTTTTTACAGTAGTTAACCATTTTCAGACACTACAGTAACATGCTGTAAACGGATTTACAGTTGTATACTGTAAATCTAAAATACAGTAACTTACTGGCAACAGTGTTGCCAGTAAGTTACTGTAAAAACCCTTTGAAATGTCTAACAGTGTACAATAACTTGCCTAATTACATAACCTGCCTAGTTAACCTAATTAACCTAGTTAAGCCTTTAAATGTCACTTTAAGCTGTATAGAAGTGTCTTTAAAAATACAATAACAATAATAATAATAACAAAAACAACAACAATAATGATAATAATAATAACAACAATAATAATTCTTTAAATTTATATAGTGATTTTCTGGGTTTAAAGCACTTTACAGATGTTGGGGGGAAATTAAGTCAGGATACAGAGGTTTTAATGACCACAGTCTCATTTGAAAGATGGTGCTCACTGGACAGCATTAAGTCCCTTTCACTATATACTGGGGCATTAATACCCACACAGACTGAAGTTTTAGCACCCCCTGCTGGCCTTTCCACGTGGTCACCCTCCCATCCACCGACCAAGCACAGCCCTGCTTAGCTTCAGTGGGCTAAGTGTAATAATTTGTTTTGGTTCAGTTTGGGATTTCCCACAACAATTAACCATCAGTCTACAACCATCACAGAGGCCTGGGAATCGGAGAGAGTCTGGCTTGGCCTCCTCCTGATTTAAGAATCAGCTATTTTAACAAATTCCGTTTTGACCTCATATATCACACCTTATATAATTGGCACTGTAGCATTTCATGAAAAGTTAAAGTGAAGTTTAAACTCTGTCACAAGTAAGAGTAAAAACAATCAAGGTGTATTATAGGAGTCTGTATACCAGAGCTGGATGTTAAGGATTTCTTGCTGTGGTGGTGATGTGTCCTGTGGGTCAGCTGTTTTTCAGACACCCCTCTCTTCTTGCCGGACTGACTGCGGGCCTGCAGCTCAAGCTTGGGGTTCCCATTTTGTCTGACCTCCTGCTTTAAACCTGACAAATCAGATTAGCATCACTTAAACCCTGATCATCCCCCAACCCCCACACTGTTTGTTTGCCAGAGCTTTGCACTGTACCTTTGGGAAGGTTCATAAACACTGTTTCCAGTTTAGGATAACACTCCTTGTTGTACTCTTTACAGAGATTCTTCCAGAAGGCCTTAAGGACCGTAGTATCCTGATCCAGCAGCAAAGTGAGCAGCGAGTAGATGGCTTTGTGGATCCCGTCCTTTTTCTTTCGCTCTAAAGTCTCCTAAAATATCAGTTAGTAATAGAATTGGTTTGATGTTTTTGCATTTAAAAAACTTATTCCCAATTCCTTAAACAACAACAAATTATGACATACAAGTTATATTAAATATATAGTGCATATTCTGCATGATCTTATTTTACATTCCTTAGCCAATACCTAAATCTAACCACACCCAAAAAAAGAGTTTTGCTGCTTGTTCAAACTACTTTTTAAAAATAAGCCGATACAACACAATTCTTTATGTTTTTTGGGATAACTTGCATGTTTAATGTTCAATCCACGAATTTGTGGAGTTAACTTATTCGATTTGTGTTGGCAAAACATGTATGAATTGTGTGGAACCCTGTATTTTTCACAGTGTATTATTAATACTATTAATACTACTAATAAGCAGCAAATTAAGGGTTTATTAAGGCAAAAGTAGTTAATGGTTTATTAATAGCAAGATTAAAAATAAATAAATAAAATAAAACACAATAGAAACCATCACATAAGTTCTAATAGTCTCCACTACAAATATAATTAAAAACATCACATTTTATTCATTGAAGCCAGGATGTACACTCACTGGCCACTTTATTAGGTACACCTTACTAGTACCGGGTTGGACCCACTTTTGCCTGCAGAACTGCCTTAATCCTACATGGCATAGATTTAACAAGGTTCTGAAAATATTTTTCAGAGATTTTGCTCCATATTGACATAATAGCATCACGCAATTGCAGCAGATTTGTCGGCTGCACATCCATGATGCGAATCTACCGTTCCATCATGTCCCGAAGGTGCTCTATTGAGCTCTGGTGACTGTGGAGGCCATTTGAGAACAGTGAACCCATTTTCATGTTCAAGAAACCAGTCTAAGATGATTCTCGCTTTATGACATGACGCATTATCCTGCTGGTAGTATCCATCAGAAGATGGGTACACTGTGGACATGGTTAGCAACAATACTCAGGTAGGCTGTGGCGTTGACACAATGCTCAATTGGTACTAATGGGCCAAAAGTGTAGCCAAGAAAATATCCCCCACACCATTACACCACCACCACCAGCCTGAACCATTGATACAAGGCAGGATGGATCCATGCTTTCATGTTAGTTGACGCCAAATTCTGACCCTACCATCTGAATGTTGCAGCAGTAATCGAGACTCGTCAGATCAGTTAATGTTTTTACAATCTTCTATTGTGTAATTTTGGTGAATCTGTGCGAATTGTAGCCTCAGTTTCCTGTTTTTAGCTGACAGAAGTAGCACCCGGTGTGGTCTTCTGCTGCTGTAGCTCATTTGCTTGAGGGTTTGTCATGTTGTGCGTTCAGTGATGCTCTTCTATATACCTCAGTTGTAACAAGTGGTTATTTAAGTTACTGTTGTCTTTCTATTAGCTCAAACCAGTCCGGCCATTCTCCTCTGTGCTAGCCATTTGCGCCGAAAGAACTGCCACTCACTGGATATTTTCTCTTTTTCGAACCATTCTCTGTAAACCCAAGAGATGGTTATGCGTAAAAATCCCTGTAGATCAGCAGTTTCTGAAATACTCAGACCAGCCCGTCTGGCACCAACTAACATGCCACTTTAAAAGTTACTTAAATCACATTTCTTCCACATTCTGATGGTCGGTTCAAACTGCAGCAGTTCATCTTGACCATGTCTACATGCCTAAATGCATTGAGTTGCTGCCATGTGATTGGCTGATTAGAAATTTGCGTTAACAAGCAGTTAGACTGATGTACCTAATAAAGTGGCCGGTGAGTGTATCTATAAATGGTTTTTGATGCAATACACATACTCTATTTTTTATTTATTGGTTTTAATAACCCGCCAATAGAAGGTAAAAAGATACCAGTACAGAGATCCAAAAGGGCCATTATAGTTTCCATTTAAACCATTATAATTTCTAATTACAGTTAGTGCTGGGCAAAAATTAATCGTGATTAATCGCATCCAAAATAAAAGTTTGTTTTGACATAATATATGTGTGTGTATGGTGTATACTTATTATGTAGGCATAAATACACACATGCATGCATATATTTGAGAGTGTTTATTTATATTTAGATATAAAATATATACGCATATGATACAAATTATATAAAACATTTAAATATTGTTTTTGTAGTTTTGTTTCCATGTATGCGTGTGTATCATATATACATAATATGTCAAACAAAAACTTTTTATTTTGGATTAATCACAATTAATCTTTGCTCAGCACTAATTAAAACCATTATACATTGTGTGATACAATCATAAAAAAATGTTTGTTTTATTTTCAGCAGGGATTTTCTGCATGTTGACCTGAAATAGTGTTTTGGTATGTGCAGTAAATGTTCACCCTCAGGATCTGTTCTGAGATGACGTTGTGATCTGCCAGTCCATACAGCAGTGGGAAAGGGTCATGAATTGCCATCGCGATCTCAGTGCGACAAGCTCGAAGCTGTGAGCGCAGGTCAGACTCTTCAAAACTCTCCACCTTAGACATGCTTCTACTCAGAGTACTGAAGGAGTCCTGCTGTATAAAGCACAACTACAATCACCCTCAGCGATTTTATGTACATAGAATTATCATTTTAAATGCAATATTGTGTCAATTAACTTTTGTGAAACTTAAAGAGCCCCTATTATGCATTATAAAAGGTCTCCAACAACATGCTAATATGCATGCAAGGTCAAAAAAAAAAACTTTCATTGTCTTATAATATGCATTTATTTTTACCTATTTAAAACAAAGACTCCCATATGATATGTTTAGCGATTCATTTGTTCCCAAACCGCTCCTTTACATGAGGCCAATCTGCCATGATTGGTCCTATGACCCAGTCTGTTGTGATTGGTCAACTGTGTTCAATGCGAGACAGACAGAAATGCCCACCATGGCTACAGTATGAAGTAGCACAAAGTATGTGAGAGCCCAATGCAGGAATGCAATTAAGCAATGCAGTTAAACACCAGCATATTACTCTACTCTTAACCCTAACCCCAAGTAATAACAACAACACATTAAGTATTAATCCACACTGTGGCAAAAGTTGAACTATTTTGAAAACTGACTGCGCCACACATGTGAGGAACAGCTGATGGTGGCCACAGCAAAGGCAAACGGCTGAGGATCACAAGTTCAGGAACACATTTGCATCGGTGAAGGAAGAAGCACGCATTGCGTTTTCAACTTGGTTTTGGATGCATTATTTGAACAGCCCCATAAAAGTTTAACCAGAGAGATACATTACAAGCACTAATCTGTAACAGATAAGTGAAAATATTAAACAAATATTTTGCAAACTACACAAAACGAGGAAACAATTTTAATTAAACTTACATGTTATGATCCGGAGGAAGAAGAAACTGATCCATATGAACTGCAACAGTTACTGACAAAGTCTCATACAAAATAGTCTCTGCTGCTCCTTCCTTTAATAACAAATGGTTGATGAATCCTGCGTTACAGTGTAGGTTATTGTATCAAAAATCAGAAAAAGGACAGGAACAAACACAGCACTAGGTTGGCTATACTGTGGTATTGTGAAAATGAACTTTGACCCTTTATTCCCAGCTGCCGAATCTCCATCTGTCAGTAATCGTCATCTTTGTGTCATGGTCAGTCCCATGAACCACCGCGCTTCACTAGTGTCTGAAGGGAAAGGCGCGTTCACGTTTAACCGGTTCCGGCACTTCATATTTAGTGATGTACTTTATTGACGTTGTTGCGTTCTGGCAAAAGATACGTACCCAACACGATTCATGCATTTGACTCTGAGTCGATTATTTCGTTAAAGAAGAGTTTAGTTTTAAAAACGGTTCACTTTCAGATTTAAACCTCAGCTGGATGTTTTCATTCACTGTGTTACACACTGCATTGAAGTTCATTTTCAAAAACCCATAATAGTGGCTCTTTAAATATGGGTGAAATAATGCTCCATCACCATTATCAAAACAGACATGTTTATCATCTAAAAATAAAAAACACTTATTCTAACCTGTCCTTAAAATCATGCTAAAATTGATCTCATTTTAAATGATTAAAATATTTTTCTGACAAATGGCTAAAACCAAAGTGGTTTAAAGGTCAGTATAAAGAATTCAAATAAGAATTGAGTGTTTTAAAACAGCCCTATGTGATCCTTAAGAGCATTTTAATGTGGCATCAAATTCTAAAATGCATTGGAGGATTTACAGTAGACTATTGTTAGATTTTAATAATTTAATAAATTATGGCAAATTGTATGATAGTCATTGTTTATTGCTAAGGATAAAATATACAGTAAATAAACCAACAAACAGGACACATTCTAATGTACAAAAAGCTGTATGCTTTCATTGTTTAAATGCTCACTATTATTTTCATTAATATTTATTTTCAATCCATATAAATACGAATTTGTATTTACATAATCCATAGAGCATTACTATGAAATGAGGTTTACATTGCGAGCTTTTGAAAATTCTCATGAGTTAATTTATACAGAAGCATATTTGCTCATGTGCAAATACATTAGTTCAGTCAGTACTGAAGCCAAAACTGGATCCTATCCAACAAAATAACTCACAACTGCCCAAAACTTAGTGGCCAATTTTTTATGTTAGAGAAAAATATTCAATTAAAAAGTTAAAAAAGAGCAAAAACAAAAAATATATATAAAAAATATGAACAATTCTGTTCTGTTCTGAGCATATATCATGTTGTTTTAGCATTTGACCCTTTTTCTTACATTCAAAGAGTAATCAACAGGAAATATTAGTTTTGCTGCAGACCCCCTGAGTACCACAGACCCCTAAACTACACAATTAAACACTATCAGCTACCAAGAAACCTTTAGCGATAACTGGACACATTGATTTTCTTGTCTGATTTGAAACAAAGTAGTAAAGATTAGCATGGTACTTACAACAGATGCTGGCGATGAGGACTAGAGATAGTTGTAATCTGTATGCTGCGTTTCTTTTATTTGCTGTGATTGACATGGCTTATGTGTGACCGCTGGATAAAGGGCACTTGTGGTCTTGGCCTCCAGGGTCCATCGATTCACAAGACCTTTAGTCCTTCTCTGATAAGTGATGACATTGAATTTCAATTTACAGTTAAAACACTGTACAGGTTGGTCAAAAATACCTGGCCCTCATTTGTCCGCATTTCTGCTCATTGGTGCGGTACGGCTTGGAAAGTCCACAGTTGGGCAAGAAACGATTTCTCAATCATGTGAGCATCTACTTTTAGTCACCTGTCTCTCCCGAGGAGTACAGTTTCCATACCAAGGGGAATCCCAGTATCAGTGCCCTGCAAAAAATGCACTTGAGGTGGATTAGGCATTAATGCAGCAATTGTAATGTTTTATGGGAATAAATCTTCCAGCACGCTCCAGTTCTAATTTATTTTAGCTTTTAAAAAACTCAAGAACATAACATTGTCATAAATGTTCATGAAATAATGAAATAGGAGATTAAGATGAAGAGTGAATATTAAAAAAGTGCCATCATTTTCTTCCCCTTATTGTGATTCTAACCTGCAAGATATTTCCACTGTAATGATAAAGAATCATGGCATGTTTTTTAGTTTGTCTGTGTGTGCCCCTTTTGTGTGTACCTTGTAAACCTCAAGTTGTTAACATTATTTATACTGAATAGTATTTGCTGCTTGAAATCATGGTATCAAATGTTCTTTAATTGCTGAAGCTTTAATAATGATATTGTATAACCACAATATTGACTTAAGCTGCATTTTTTAAACGTTTAACAGATTTGATAATAAAAAAATGAATTTCTTTACTGTATATAAATGTTTAAAAAAGATTTGACAGCAAAAGCATTATGAAATGCCATGCAACACTTTACATTAAGGTCTCATTAGTAAATTTTAGTCAAGACTCAGAAAAAACTTGTTTATTATTAAAAACTTGTTTATTATATTTACTATGTTAATATTAGTTTACAAACACAGCACACATTTTTACAAATTTTTATTATTATTATTATTATTAACTCGATTTACAGTAAAAAATGAATCAATATAAAGTTTATCATTAACTGTTTGTGACCTTTTTTTTAAATGTATGTTATCAGATTCCTTAGAATCTATCTAAATTTTTTGTAATCAAATACTATGAGATTTAATAAGTAAAAAGAAATGAATATTCAATAAATATATCTATCTGTAGTAAAGGCCAGATTTAATTATTAAATTAGTTAAATTCTATGAGATTGGATTACTTAATATCCAGGGGCAAAATTGACGCAGTTTTTTATTAATACATTGGATTTAATACATTGGATTTATTAATATAACTACATAAACTACCGGTCAAATGTTTGAGGGTTTTTTTTCATGTTTTTTTATTTTTTTTAAAGAAAATTAATCTGTACTTTAAGGCAGCATTTATTAAATGCAAAAAAAAAATTAAATAAGTGTTAATTATTGATACAAATTTTGAGTAACTGCTTTCCTATTGTATGTCATTTCAAATTAAATTATTACTCCAATCATTATTGCTTTTATTACTATTACCATTAATTAATTAAAATATTTATATTAAAATTTGATTTCTGAAGGATCATGTGACTCTGAAGACTTTAGTAATGAAGCTGAAAATTCATATTTAAAATCACTGGAATAAATGATTAAATTAAGTTATTTTAATGTGCAGTAACATCTTACTATTTTACAATTTGTACAGTATTTTGATTAAATAAATGCATCTTTGGTGAGCAGGACAAGTTTATTTAAAAGCATTTAAAAATCCTATTGACTCCAAACTTTTGACCGGTAGTATACATCTTGTTCTTATTGGTTTCATTTATGTTTAACTTACAAATATCGATCACATGGAATTTATTAGCTCAATTATGAAAAGTATGGACTCCAAATGGATGGAAATATTGACATATTGACATATATTGAAATATTGAAATATTGACATTGAAATTACATAATTGTGTCACTTTCTCTTCGCTGATAAGATATACAGTCAGGTACACAATGTTCCTGTGTGACTCCAGGCGATACTTCCATGTTTCTTACCACCTCAATCTCGATTTTGCTTTTAAAATGGCGGCCGCGTGAAATCAGTCTATGGTCTGAGTCCCAGCTGGGCCAGGCGGCATTTCTGTGTGGAGTTTGCATGCTGCTTGTGAGTGTTCTCACGGAACACAATCTCACAGAAATTTGTAAGTTTTTGATTTAATGGCTAATTCGTATGAATTTGTACGATCTCATTCATACAACTTAGTATGATTTCCTTATCCCTTTTGGGTTTAGGGGTGGGTTTGGGTGCCACGCCTCGTTTTTACAATCTGAACAAATTTCTATGAATTACAATTATGAGTAACGTTTCCTCATGAGATCAGGCTGGAATGTTTGCACAGTATAGCTGAATTGAGTAAAAAACTGGCCTACATAATGAATGAATGTGTGTCAATGAGGTGTATTTGTTGCCTTTGCTTGTTTGTTAGAATTTGCTCTAAATTAAGCAGTTGAAGTTTTAAATATGATTTATGAATAGTATTAATTGTGTCAAATGATATTTGAATAAATGTTTTTGTGTACAGTATATCTGACCATTCTGTTCATTTTGATAATGGTACGATCGCTTTAATATAAGGGCCAGGTTTTGTTTAGTTTGAGAGTTGTTGTGTTTTGGTTTGTTGCCAAGAGGTTTTTTTTGTTTTTTTTTCTCCTCAGTTTCAAAAAAGTGTTTAGAAAAAATCCGGACATACACAAAAATATGGCTAAACGCAATATCACATATAAATATCACATTAGTACAAAGTGTGGTATTAAGACATGAATTTTATTGATTTTTTTTCAGACAGATGTCATGCTCATAAATGTCCTTACAGAGTGAATAAAGAGCCAACTACACTGCTCTACACAACCCTACGGCAACAACTTTGACAGATTCAATCCCATCCCGCAATCAGCGGCGACTTCCTGTTATCACACACAACCTTCCTCTTCTGCAACTCAGACTGCTGTGAACTGGCTAGATGGCGTGAACACGACTATTTAATCACCAATCAACATCATAAATCCGTCAGCTGTCTGGCCGACCGGTCTGTGACCACCTCTCAGTAACGTATGTGTTCTCAAGGTAGCCATACAATGAAAGCTTTGCATTGTGATGCCACAATAACAGAAGGCACAACTAGTGTACAAAAAGTGAAAGATGACAAAGCAAAGGCTAAACAGAGGCTTGAGAAATGTGAAAGATGACATACTTCGTGCCCCATCAATGCAAAACCTCCCCGCAATGAATATCAGCGGCTTTCTTCCAACACCAAACAATTCAGTCACAGTTTTTCCTCATGTCCAGTTTTCTTTGAATTAATAGAGTTATTGGCACCAGAAAGAAACTCGCACTAACGTTAAATATATTATAAATACCTAATATTTCCTAAATGAATCTCTATACAATCTGTGGTGTTAATCAGTGCATTTATGTAAACAATTCAAATCTAAAACAACAAAGAAAACTTTAAATATTAAAGATACTATGTTTCTCCAGAGGTTTGTAAACAACTCACATTTCTTGAACGTACTGTTGCGATAAAAGCAGAAGTGGACTTCAGGCGGGTACATTCTCTCAGCTCAGTGCTGTTTTAATAAAAAGGTCTTCGTGGATTCTCTGAGATGAAAGTGTTCACTTACAGCTAACGTTTTCAATCTTAATCTACACATCCATTCGACATGTGCGGGAGACTATGAGAGCTTCACTACATAGCATATATGACGTGGATACGACAATCATTTGTCTCTTTCCTTACTTCAGGATGTGGTGAACCAAACGTTTCCTTGCCATAACCCAGAACAAAGTGCATGTATTTGAAATGAAAATCTGTTGTTTCCTAAGGCTCACCTCAAACGAATGATCTCATTCTAACTGGATGCAAATAAATAATATCTTGAAAAAAATAGTTAAATCAACCCACATGTCTATAGGGTTTTATCAGGAGTGATAATGGATGAGTAAAACCGTATAAGGCAACAGCAAAATGCCCAAATCAAAAGTAATACTACCAGTGTATGGCTACAGGTAAGATCGAGAAAATAAAAGTGAAGCCCTTGTCGTATTGAAAAAAGAAGAAGAAGGAAACAGAAACGTTTGTACAGGTAAACATAAACCACCACTAAATGATGAATGTTCACAATAATATAAATACTATATACAATACAGTACCGCCTGGCGGATCTTAAGTGTATACATGAAGCTAGCAGGAAAATCCATTGGTACTTTGCAACAGTGCCGCGGCACTTTAAAGGTTAGCCGGGTTAATACACACACCTCTGGTGGAGGCCGGTACTGGATTAGCATGTAGAATGTACTGTATACACAGACCCACACTAAGACTTTAAACAGACTTCTCTCTTTTTTTTTTTTTTTTGAGTTTTTTTGTTTCATCATTAATTCGGAGATCTTCGTTTCATTACTATTAATGTGTTTGGACCAGAAGGACATGACAGATTCTAAAAGTTGTCTCACATGCATGCTATAGACGAAAGACAGTTACTCTGCCGTCCGCCTCAAATCTTAAACATATTTTTTTTTTTTTGTGAAGGCATCATTTAGTGCTTTTTTTTGTAATGTACAAAAATACAAAACATAACAACCCATAACTCACTCTGAATGTTTTTTTTTTTTTTTGGCCGAAGATGGTACACATGCCACTTCCCGTCTTATATGAATCTGTAAGCTAGTCACTTTGATTTACTTATGATATTATTTTGGCAATTGAACAGACAGTGTTGACTTTTTTTTTGTTCTTGCAACTGAGGAGTATAATTTTAGACCCATTCAGAGAGATGTAAAAAGCCTATATCCGATCATAAAGTTCAACTGGACGTGGACCCATAGGAAGCAACAGAACAAGCGTGTGGTGTTAATGAAGGTCCAAACCACTTTCTACTAACAGGAGCAGCCGCTTTCAGTGGCCGGAGGATCCGGCTGTTTGTCCAGCTTAATGTCAATCACTGGGAGAGAGTTGTGTGTCAAGGAAATCAAAAAAATTGTGTACAGTATGTATCATTAAATTACATCCAGTTGAAGTCAGAATTTTTAGTCCCCCTGTTTATTTTTTCCCCAGTTTCAGTTTAACGGAGAGAAGGTTTTTTCAACACATTTCTAAACATAATAGTTTTAATAACTCATCTCTAATAATGGATTTATTTTATCTTTGTCATGATGACAGTAAATAATATTTGACTAGATATTTTTTCAAGACACTTCTATACAGCTTAAAGAGACATTTAGAGGCTTAACTAGGTTAATTAGGTTAACTAGGCAGGTTAGGGTTTTAGGCAAGTTATTGTATAACGATGGTTTGTTTCGTAGACTGTCAGAAAAAAATGTAGCTTAAATGGGATAATAATTTTGACCTTAAAATGGTTTTTAAAAAAATGTAAACTTTTAGCTTTTATTCTATTTTTTAGCTTTTATTCTATTCTATTTTCTAGCTTTTATTCTAGCTGAAATAAAACAAATGACTTTCTCCAGAAGAAAAAGATATTATCAGACATACCGTGAAAATGTCCTTGCTCTGTTAAACATCATTTAAAAAATATTTTAAAAAGAAAAACAAAAATTCAAAGAGGGGCTAATAATTCTGACTTCGCCTGTATAAAGCGCAGCTTTATCAATATTGGTTCCTATTAAAACCATTATTGGGATCATTTGAATGAGTGATTTGTAAACTAGAGACTCACTCTGATCAGATCATTTGAAGCAATGAATAATTAACTGGAAACACATTCTGACCAGAGTCTTTAAATGAGTAAATTATTAACTAGAGCAGAGATGCCCAAACTAGGGCCTGCAGGCCAAAGTTGGCCCATGGTAACCTTTGAATTGACCTATCTGAGAAGCGAGTGAAAACGACAGGCATTAATTTATTTATATAGATTTAACAGATATTGATTTTACTGGTAAGCTGCAAAACAAGCTAACTGAAATCAAATGTGGTAAATGAATGAGATTTTTTGTTTTATATGTAAATAAAGTCAAGTACAGTGCAAAATACATTGGCAACTTGACTAGTGTATACAGCATTAAACTCCATTGTGTTATAACATACATTTCTTTATATTGTTATAAATTCATTATAAGATATAATGCATTAGGTAGAACGATCAATTTAATGTTAGCTATTTATTTTTAAGTATTATTAAATAAATTAGGAAATGATGGCAACTTTAATGCAATATAGTTTGCTATATTTACCTTCAGCCCACAACTCTCAAACAAGTTTAGTTTTTGGCCCATCATAGAAAAATGTTTGGGCACCTCTGAACTAAAGACTCAATCAACAGATTTTATTAGTATAAAAATATATATTATAAGCAGATTTGAATGAATTTATAAATGTTAAAACTAATACTAATAAATACTGCACATATATTGATGACTGTTAGTTAATTTCAACTAAGGCTGACAATTATAACCTCATTGTAAAATGGCTTACTTTTGTCTCTGCATCTTAAGTTGGAAAATAACACATACAGTAACTCTTTTAACCATCATAGATTCATTTTGAAAACGTAGCCTTATATACATTTCTGGAGATCGAGAATTATGTAGCCAGAATTACATATGTAGCCAGACTGAATTTTATCTTTAAAACGAACGCTATGGGGTTTGAGTCCGGAGAAGAACGGTTCTAGAAAACAGGTAAGACAAGCCAAAAAATCGAATAAACAAGTAAATAACAGGATAAGAATGAGGTCAAATCTGAAAACGTGGTAAAAATTAGGCAAGAGCTTTTCTTTTTCAGCATTGCTTTTTAAAACTGTTGGTTTGCTTTAGGAACGTGGGTGGGCAGGTCAATCTGTGCTTTTGAAAACACTATTGGTTGGTTTGGGAAAGGAGGAGGGTGAGTCAGTCGATTGTTCAGTCAGTCAGTTGAAAGTGGCCTCTGATGGATTTACGCAAGAAGAGCGGGCGCGAATGGCACTCAAGAGAAAAATCTGAGAAAAGCATACACAGCAGTGCTAAGACAAAAACTGCAAAAAAAAAACATAGCTCCTGGAATGTATTTGGCACTCTCCAGAAATGTATATAGTGGTACATTTTCAGAATGAGCATGGGTTGCTTTTAAGTGTCAAGCAGTAAAGGATACTTCCTTCTTTGTTATTATCATCCAAGCTCTCCATACCAGGCAAAGCAGCGGCCACTCGCCGAAACAACTGTTAAACAAAACAGAGAAAAAATATAATCAGACCAAGACTTTTTTTTCCAGAGTACCGCTAACGCCCTATGGGCAACAGCTCAGTGGCTAAATCAAATCTTTTTAGAGCTTTTCATGTGTCATGTTTCAGGGCACGAGCTCGATTAAATTACTCTATTGGATCAAGTCCATTTGCCATCGAGCCGACAACGTAGCGCTTTTAGACTCACCTGTTTAACATTACTGCCGGTCTTTGCACTAGTCTCGATAAACATCACATTCAACTCTTTGGCCCGCTGCTCCCCCTCCTCTATAGTGATTTGCCTATCAGAGCAAATATCATCATTATTTGTTACAATTTTGTGTACATTGTGTAACATATATAACTTAAAATAAATACTAAAAATATTATGTTAAAATTACAAATGACTCCACCTCTTTTCCTCTAGATCTGTTTTATTGCCCACCAGCATGATAATGACATCACTTCCCCTCTCTGTTCTGACATCATCAATCCATTTAGAGGTTAGCTGGAATGAATTGATATCTGGGGAAGAGAAGGAAAAATCTTACTCTAATTGGAGCCTGAGGCGCTTTGTTAAATGCACATTTCCATAACTGAAACATGAAAGCTGTATGTGTGTGTGTGTGTGTGTGTGTGTGTGTGTGTGTGTGTGTGTGTGTGTGTGTGTGTGTGTGTGTGTATGTTTGTGTGTGTGTGTGTGTGTGTGTGTGGCTTACTTGTGATATCATACACCACCACAGCCACTGTGGAGTCTCTAATGTAGCTCGGGATAAGACTCCTAAAACGCTCCTGCCCTGCAGTGTCCCATAGCTGTAACCTCACCTGCAAAAATACACAAGACATTATAATAACTGCGGACATGTAATGTAAACTAAACAAAATGCAGCTGAATATAATTAGTTAAAGGGCTTCTTACAGTTCGGTCCTCCAGATACATGGTTTTTGATAAAAAGTCAATGCCAATAGTTGCCTGTGATGGTAAAGCGATTGATAGTAAGATTAAAACATGAACAATCATAGCTGAAAAACTATATAGCGTCTGCACTGAAATACAATATTATACCTGATAAGTGTTGTCAAAACTGTCATACATGAACCTTGTTATCAGCGATGTCTTCCCAACTGTAAAATAAACCAACACAAAACAGGAAATCACATGCACTGAAGTGACTAATGACTTGTTTGTCCTGACACAACCCTAAACATTAAAATCTAGTCATTGAATTAATTTTCCTAGTACTGGGTTGCAGCTGGAAGGGCAACCGCTAGGTAAAACAAATGCTTGATAAGTTGGGACTTGATGAATAAACCCAGCAGGCACAAAACATCATAAGACGTTATTATTAGGTTAGATTTAGATTGTGTCAGGTAACCAAAATTCAACGTCTAACCAGCGTCTAAGGACAACGTTATTTTGACGTCAAATAACGTTGATATTTGGTTAATTTTAGGTTGTGTTGGAAAGTGACCAAAATCCAGCGTCTGATAGATGTCATAGTGGTAACATCCACCCAACATCAAGGTGTAACATGATTAGACGTTGATATTTGGTTGATTTTTGGTTGATTTTAGGTTGGACGTTGGACATTGACGTCGGCCTGACGTTGGGTGCTGACGTCAACCCGATTTTCATTTCCAAACAAAATCCAACATTTTCATGACTTTGGGGTACGTTGGGGTACAACGTCAGAATATGACATCATGTAGATGTCATGTGCCTGCAGGGAAGGCACTAAGCCGAAGGAAAATGACTGAATAAATAATTGAATTACTCTACCCTACAGCAAAACATCCTCAAAACAAAGCACAATCTCAACTTGCGTCCTTCATAAAGCAGCATGTTTTCTCACAGGATCACATCACACAGGGAATGTCATTGGAGTTCACTGTCATTAAATGGTGTGAAAATGCAGCAGTGCATGAAGTCACTGTGACAGCAAAATTTCTGAGGACATATTTCACACACTAGAGGACTTCTCTGTTCAGGTCGGTCTGGTCGGGCCTGTTTGTCAGGCTGAGACGAGATACTAAAATCATCAATTGCCACTATGCTGATAGTTATGCTGGAGCTCATAGAACGAGAGGGAATAATAGTGCCATTCTTCTGCGGCTTCACTGAAAGGACGATGGTTGTTCTGCTGATGTCTTGAAACAAGATCATACAAATCTGACCAGCAGTGAACTTCAGTACCATGGACAGCAGAACACAAGTGGTCTTCTGACTTTAAAAGGGACAGTTCACTTAAACTGTCCTCGCTTCCTCATTCCCATATTGCTCCAAACCTGTATGTCTTCATTTCTCAAGTCATTATGTGGAAAAAAAAAAACGTGGATAAAGAGTGAAACTGCCATTCCAACATCTCGTTTTGTGTTTCACAAAACATGAAAAGACTAAAACTATCTATTAATTATTTATTTTGAGCAAGGAATATTTTTTAGCAGATAGCCTCCATATGACCATATTTTATTTGCAATGGTTTTATGATTTCAATTGGATGAAGGTGTGTGCTGTTGGAGCATTTAGGTAATTTCGGTAATATAGTCTTAAATCTAATTAAAAATGATTCAAATGACAAATATAATACTGTTATACTGTATTAAAGGCCTTCTTACTGACTGGCTCTCCACATTCTCTATACAAACAAACATTGAATAGTCAAGACATAACCACTGTATTACAAGCTATAAGCATTACTATGTAATGTACAGCAAATATATGCATACTCCAGACGAAATATATCTCCAGGACACGTGAACTTAACGGTGACGCCATGCTTAGTGTTATTATTTTCCACGTTTGCATGTCCAGTCACCAAATGACAGACATGATCTGTAATGCCCGTCTCATTACATCTTCACAAACAACGACAGTGCCACTCATTAGACCATCATCATCCAGCAAAATGAACAAACCACGATATGCATTGCCATTTCTAGACTGATCTTACGAATGCTCAAGGAAAGATGCGTGAGGTTTTTATTTTTGCTCGGCTGAAGAATCCCACAGACACTGACTGCCAACCTGGGTGTGTCTCCAGTAGACACACGGGAAATGCAAAGCCTCTGCGCCTTTCTGTTTCGTGACACACTGAATCACTGGATGTTTACAGAAAGGTATATATAAATAAAGCTATTTCAATCTCTTTCGACTGAATAGCCTTACATATATCATTCGTTTTGAGTGATTTACAATGCGCTAGAAGAAGAACGATCAATAATATTATCAGACCTCCTGCCTCCACTGGAAAATGCAAGTGACAATCACAACAGAGTTGTTGAAAGAACGATTATATGACGTTATATTCACAGATGGGTGTTCGGTAGTGTAATGACGCGGCATAGCTATACATTTTCATGACTAATCAAAAATTAAACGAATGCAACCGACTTGTTTGACGGGGAGCGTTAACATCGCTTGAAATAACACCACGAACAAACACAAACACAAGAAGGCTCGACAACATACTAATGTACTTCATGCATGTGTTGAAAGGTGAATGGGTTCGTCTAAACCCAGTCGTGGCAAACCCAAATACTCACCGCTTTGCTCCCCTAAAAAAACAAGTTTGAATTTCCGTAAAGGGTTCCCAAAGTCACTTCCCATGGACATGATTGCTTTAATGACAAAGTTGTTATGGATTAATATGTACAGGTGGCACCAGTCTTGCGAGAATGCAGATGGATAATCTTCGGTCGCGAATCGATGGATATTGCAGTACTGCTCCGCGATGTCAATTCTCCGGCTCAGTGCGCATGCGCAGCGGCGGCGATACGCCCGTCTGATATCACTACTGTGTTTACGGAAACGTCCCTCGTAAACTCTGCTCGCGCACTAAACCGCAGGCCACGCATCCGTGCACAAATGTTTGCATGTCGAAGTGCAACACATTTTTTTATGTACTTTAAACGCCTTTTTGTGTCTTTTGCAGATAATTGAAGACTGCGTCTAGACTTAGCTTTCAGTATGTGTACAAGTGAGTAGGCTACATGACATGAATTATAATTGAAAGGAAGGTTTTGAACAAAATGTTGCAAACCCTTAATGCACATATAGGAAGGCAAAATACATTAAACTTAAATTACTTTCTACGTTAGACTAAATAACAGTAATATATAATAACAAATATTACCCCTGGTAATTTATTGTAGCTAGCAAAAATTATATACAGTAATTTAATATAGAAGCATAAAATATTAAACCTGGTCGTTTAATATAGAATTACAAATCGTATACACAGTATTAATAATAAAAGCATGAATATTGAACCTGGTCATTTATTGTATTAAAAATTGCAGTAGTTCATATAAAGCATAAAATAATGAGAATGGTTTTATCTACTGGGTTTGCCTTTGTAGGGTAAGTAAACTATATATATATATTTTTGTGTGTGTGTGTGTGTGTGTGTGTATAGCTGTCTTTTAACATTTAATTAAATGATATTACCTTGTAATTACAATTACATTCTATGCACCGAATATTTGTGTTGAGATCATAGTACCCTGAAAACTTCAGTGCATGTAATATACCCTGACAAGTCCATTTGCCTGCAGATTTCTCTGACATTCTCAACATCACACACACACAAAAAACATCCTTCTTGTTTGGTTGTATACCGCTGAATGATGCTCTCTGGATATAGCAACACATTACACAAAGGAGGAAGTGAGTCTGTTGTCAGAAAGGATATAAATACATAAATAAATGTTTACTTACTGTACTGTAATTAGACATGAGCCAGTATAGGATTCTGCCGGAATTATATCCTTAGGTAAAAAGGTCACGGTTCGACGGTATTGTAATTACTGCTCTAAAATAAGTTCTTTTTAAATGTCCGGGTAAAAAACAACAACCCTTTCCCTCTTTGAAAACAAAATAAATTTGATTTCGGGAAACATTTACAATATTTTGGAGCAGTAAACATGTTAGGCTAAATAATTAAAATAAACCAATGACTTCTGCTAGCTTAATTTGTCAAAAAACAGATTTCTTTACAGTTTAAAATGGCTTCTTTGGATATATTTTATGCTGGAGATACTGTTGTCCTAAAAAGCATAAGCATAAATAAAAAAATAATCTTACACATACCATAAGAAGGGTAAAATTTTGGCGGTTTTAAAACCTTTACTTTTCCAAACCGTGGTATACCTTGAAAACGGTTATAGTTCCATGCCTAGTTGTAATACATATGTGCAGAAACACTATGTAACTTAGCATATATGTGTGCTTGGAACTATACTATTGACTAGCTGTTATTGAATGAGTGTAAAAATGACAACATACAGCATTGTAAAAAAAAAAAACAGGACACTCAAATGTTTGTACTTTTTCTATATCGGTTTTGTACTGTATCAGAACTTTAATATCCATGAAGTATTTTTTTTTTTATCATTTCAGCAGTTTGATATCAAATAAGAGAGTGCCATTTTCAGGCCAAGAGATTGCATTAGCATCCCAGAGCAAAAGTAATTTCCTTAGCTTGAGTTAAGGTTTCCTTGTTTGTGTATTCTGTCACCAAGCTCGCTGAAGACATTACTCCCAATATATCTTGCTTCGTAAATGTATTAAGTGATTTGCTGCTTCTGTATACAATAGATATCTTATCCCAAGTGTATGTGCATTGTTCTTCTCGTTTGGACTATACGGTGTAGCGTTTCTGTTATATAAAGAGTGTTATACTCAATCCTATACATGTTTTATCAGTCCCTCAGGGTGGTCTGAACACCCCTGCTGGATACACTCACACACACACACGTGCACACACACACATGCATCCACACACATACACAGCTGTAAATGTATTTGAAGTACTGTAGAACTTTAAAGGAAGTTTATGAAAAGGTAGGAGAAGACTCAAAAGTGATTATTCTCATTAAATAGCACTTTCCAAACATCGGTTTATTTATACAAGAAAGGGCAGGCATCAAAATTTGTGGAACACACATAGCTGTAAACATTTTTGGCCAGATTCCTAACAGGTAATCATGGTATTTCTTTATGGTATGTTTTGCCTGACACAAAGTTGACGTTAGTTTATCTGTATTCAAAATGCTTTAAAATAATTAGAAATTATTTTGTATTCACAATAATTGCCTGTTTCTCAATTCCAAGAAAGCAGAGAACGCACTTGCGTTCTTGTGGAGACAGGTCTTGCCAAGTTACCTCGAAAGAAAGAACTCAGGAGACTGCGAGAACACAGAAAGCATCCTGTGAGAAATGAAATGCTGAGTTCTTCCTGATAGTCTCATGACCTTCATGCACATTTAACAGGAAAATTACATTACAGCATTCATACAGCGATTTATTGTTGTGTTTTTTTTTCTTTTTCAATGTATATAACATGCACAAAACCCTTACAAATATACTTTACACAATACAAATAAAACAGGTTTTAATACGAATTTCAACAAATAAACACCCTTAATGTGTTTATGCCTTTATTAAGATTTTCATGGTGATGTTTACTTTCACCATTTCATTTAGGGAAACTCCTGAGGTAAATAAGTTATAACTCTAACTCTAAGCTTTAATAATAAATCCATATAAAATGCTGCGCTTCCCTACTTTTTTATGTAGTCGCAATGCCTCTGGGTGCATCTTCGATATCAAGAACACATTTGGGAACTTTTATGCGTTCTTACGGTCTTGGGTTTTGGAACTGAACTTTGGCAGTTGATGATGACGTTACATGACAAAACATGTGGACGCAAAATTGCTGAAGAACGCATATTAAGAAAAGGCCATTATCTCAAATGCATTGTGCTCTAATGCACCATATAAACCAATTCAAAAAACTCAAAAATTAAACAACTCTGCTTCTTTCTCCTTCCAGAAGGTGAAACTTCGGTCAATGTATTTGCAAATTTCATCATTGTTAAACATTGAGAAATCATTGCTTCCGTCTCCATTGAGATGTCCTTCATCGTTTGGTGTGACATTCTCAATAATCACTTGTGGTACTGCATGGGAATCATTCACAGGCTCTTTAGAAATCCCACTTTCTTTTTTCCCAAAATATTGTGTTTTGATGTCCTCAAAACCATCTTTCCACTCACGTCTCCCAGCCTCAATGTCCCTGAGGACGGCCCGATGGAAGTCTCGGACCCTCTCCCAGGGAAAATTCCCAACGTGGTCAAACACCTCAAAGCACAGCAGGTGTCTCATCTTGCGCTCCTCAGCTGTGAGGTCCTGTTCGAGAATGTGAAAATAACCAAGCATGAACAGGTCAAGAGTCAGGCTGTCGTAAGCAACCGGAGCACCATCCACTCGAGGAAGGAACTGCTCGGGCGAATAGGTGACTCGCTTTCTCTGGAGACTCCGGATCTGTCGTGATGGGACGCCTGAGGTGACCCGTTTCCAGTTGCCAATCATCTTATCTATTGCAGTTCTTTGCCTATAGAGATGATACAGTGATCTTGTTCCTGGCTTTGAGACTGGAGCTGTTATTCCTTCTCCTGTAAGAGTGCCAAGCTCCTGTTTCATCTTGGCCCGCAGTGATATTGCATATGCAGACCTTTTCCAGTGGCTCAAAAACAAGACAACGATACGCTCCTTCCGCAAGCAGGTGGTCTCCATCACTTTTGCTGCATCTCTGCTTGGTGCCTGTTGGCATTTTATGGCACTGTCATGAAGGTGATTTATGTCGGTGCTCTGGATTGTCCCCATGGGCTGCTCACATCCATTTGTCGATGTAGACAGCTTTTGCTGCCTTGTGTCGCATGTGTTGTTTAAAAGCCCGGAAAATGGGTAGATGTTTCCTATTTGACTCTCAAAGTTGGACCTCAGGTTTCTGACAGAAACTCCTGACTGCTGGATCTCCAGTTCCACTTTCTGCCTTCGTCCTCGGATTGAACTTTGCCTCTCCGGCTGGTATGTAAAAACCGAAGCCAGATCTTTGTTTGGCATCTTACAGATCCCATCCTCACCGCTTGTTTCTGAGAGATTTGTCAGAAGCAAAGACATGCTCTTTACTATATTTGAGATACGGTTGTACCACACAGGAAGAGGCAGAGATTCCTCCATGTTTGGGAGCTGGGGGCACTGGGTGTTGACAGTGATATTCACGATGGGAGCAGGAAGGATGGCCCTGAGCTCTTCAGCCAGCCGGGCAAGCTCTAGTTCATAGGCCTGGCATCGCTTTTGAAGGGAGATTGTTTCAATCTGTCCCTCCAAGTAGACCAGGTCATCCTCAGTGAGCAGCTCTCCAAAGGGGCCCAAAATGACATTGTGGACTTGGGAATACCTCCAGCCATCCACCTCAATGTGTTTGCCGCTGATTTCCTGCTGTAGATGAAATTGTTGTTATTGTCTGATTGTATGAGTGTAAATATAGTAGAGATTATACAGATTAATGTGAGAGAGGTTTGACTGGTTTACTTTTTTGCTGTGGTCATCTTCATCCTGAAGTCGAGCCTGAAGCTTGCGCACCATAACTTGCCTCTTCCATTCAGCAATGGGCCTGCCGTTCTCATCATGAGTCGGGATCAGAGAATCAATGTCAGCAAGATTTGCCTCCAGTGTCACAAGTGGACCAATGTCGTTCTCTCCCTTCTGCGAACAGATTCATACAATTACATTTTCATGCAAGACTCATGCAAACAACTCTACTGTATCAGCAGTGGGAACTAAGCATTCTGTAACTAAGTAATTTTCCTCAGAAATTGTAATTTACTAAGTAGTTTTATAAATGTGTACTTTTACTTTCCCTTGAGTAGATTTTTAGTGCAGTATCTGTACTTTTACTCCACTACT